CGAACCACATCATCTTTATTCAATCCATGCAAATAGAATTAGCAAGGAGTCTTTTGTCAATAGTACTATATGTGATAAGAGATAATCAATCAAATTCTATTTCATAAGATCCATTAAAAAAATCAAATGCTTATCTATTACTTTTACTCGTTTCTTTTCCCGATTTCCCTTAGTGGTGATACCTTTCACTTAAATTTTGAGTCCTAACTAGAAGGAATAGGCCAAATATGATTAATACAATTTCCTCTATTGGTTGTAAGTATGAATGCTAAGAGTTTATTGGAAATATTTCATGGACCACGTCATTTACACATAAACAACAAATTTTTAGATAATTGGGGTTCGGTCTCATTGCATGGTTCATTTGTCCAGGTTAACTTTGAAAACATAAAATGTGTATCAAATCCTTCATAGTACCAACCAGCAAGCTATAGTCATGATCAAGAACAGCTGCAGTGAAGTGGTCCATGAAATATCACCTGATTTTAATGCATATAGCTTGATGCTGTTTCTTATATTAGGCAGTGTGTGTTCTTTTTCTTTCATTTATTAATCATTCCATGCGTGAGTGAGATTGTGCACATGTGTGCTTCTAATAACTGTTGTTTGTTTTGTCATTTTCAGTTTTTATATTATGGTAAAATTGTCATGCACAAAAAACTTATCATCATGCAAACAATTACTATAAAGATGTTGTTTAAAGATTTCATGAAGATAATTTTTTTCTTGAAAATACTAATTAAATAATTGTTAGATTAAGTTATAATATTATTTATATCTCTTTTGCAAATATTCTAAAACACTTTTTGATATTTGCCTTAAAGTATATGTATACATGTTGATACTCCAAACTATATATTCAACATTAATATTTAGACACTTTAAACTCTTCAAGACTCATTTAATATTATTTTTTTATCTTCTCTAATATATCACATCTATCAACCCACTCATCAATCACTTTTCTCTTTTCTTTATTTTCTATTTGGTTGAGTAGAAAGAAAAAAAAAAGGTAAAAGAAGAGTGATAAACAGGAAAAAAAAAATTTGTAAATCTCTTATGGAAACGGAATAACTCCTGAAAATTCAAAAATATTTCTGCAGTGATATTTTCGGAGATGCTTTTCTGAAACATCGTAATTTGATTATTTTGGAGATGTATCTCCGAAGTCCTGGACAATGACATTTTTTTAAAATCATCAATGTGTTTTTAAATAATTAGATGAAAACGATAAAAAAACACAAATGAAAAATTATAAGAAATAAAAAACGATAATAGACACAATAAATTATTTGAAATAAAAAATAATACAATAATTATTCATAAATTATTCTGAAATAAAAAAAAAGCATAGCCTACTGCGTATGTCTGATCCTCACTCCCTGACCCCCTCCTTTGTCTCCTGTATCCCCCTGCACGCTTTGACTTCCCAACCATCCTCTCTACAATGACCACCACCTCAGGACCGCCTCAGTCAATGATGTCTATGTCCAAAGCCTCCCTCCCAATCATATGTATCTGCTGACAGATTGGTAAGAGATCAATGGCACAGTCATCCTCGACCTGCTGGTTCTCAAAGATCCCCTCATGTGCTGGCCTAGGTGGAGGTCAAGGAGCATCCGGTGTCATGATAGAATGTGACAATGTGTAGAACCATGTTATGTATCCCTTAACACAGTACCAACTTTTGGATGCATGCATCATCCGACATTCCTCTTGCACCAAATGACGCTCCCAATCATGAATTATGCTATCCAGATCCCGACGGGGAATGGTGTCGGAAACAGCCTAAAATGGAGATCTGAGTATCGTCTACACATAGTCAAACTGTCGCATGCATCGCTCCGCAGATACTTGACCATAGTGGCACTCCCACATGCCAGCCACTCATTGTATAGTGAGATGGAGTCAAACTGGATAATATCGATGATCCTCGAACAGCGTCCATAGGATCTTCTTGGACAGTCTGATCTAGATACACCTGGAACGACAGCACAACCTGGTTCCTTCTGTGGAGGACGTACCAAGCAGCCCTTGACATGTCCTCCCTATACTGCATATCTAGCTCAAAATCATAGATGTGGTGGAAGTGAAAAATGATCCAGCCCTGAAAAACGAATAACATTCATGTAAGAAAAAATTGTAGTTATTAATAGTAAATTAAACTTAAAAGCTGGAATGAAAATTACCGTCAACATTGTAGCAGAACCTGACAACTGTTGTGTCCTCCAGTTAGAGGCTTCATTCAAATTTTGATACAGGTATATCAAACAACCGGCGCTCCGAGTTCCACTACCTCACAGTATCCAAATCCATGAAGTACCAGAGGTATACTACATGCACGTAGTTGGTGCTTTTGGCCATAAAAATGGACGTGTCAACCAAGAACATGAAGTAACACCTCAGAGCATACTCACTGTGATAAACAACCAAGAAGTCGTCTCCATGTGACTCAGAATCAGCTACCACAGAGAGGTGCTCGTGGTATAGGTTCTTAAGGAATGAGAACTTGGCACGAGCCCCATTGGTGGAGGAACACTGTTTAAATGCTTCTTCTGGTTTAGCTCCTTAATAGTCGATCATCCATTCAATCGCATCACTATGATCGATCCATGAATGATTAAGTAACCTCCCTCTGATAGGAAGGTGTAGTAGGCAGACAAAGTCATCAAGTGTGATCGTCATCTCCCCAATAAGAAAGTAGAAAGATGATGTCTCCTTATGCCACCTCTCGACAAATACCCCATGCATGCCGTGGTTGATGGTGTTGTAACTGGAACAACAAAGGCCGACAAGTCTGGAGGCAAACATGGCCTCTTTGAACCAATCATCATCAGGGTAATACTGCTCATATATCTTCCGCATGTGGTTCACGTGCGAGTTCGAGTGAGTTGAAACAAGTGTAAATAAGTAGACAAACTTGAATTAGTCTTGAAAATAGAGATTTTGGAGGTTTTTGAGGTGATTGATATTTAGGATTTGGAAGGAATGAGAACGAGGGGTGGTTCTTCATATTTGTTACTGTAATGCCCTAATTCGGAGATGTAACTCTGAAACACCCCTGATTTTGAAAAAAAAATGTTTCGGTAAGGTCAGAAGCACGTTGAATTAACCCGCTTAGACCTTCAACCAAAAGAATAGAAGATAAAAGGAGCTAGGGGCTCCCTACTTCAACCCTCTTTAAATATTGATTTCAGGAGTAGTGAAATCATTAACTAGCACGACCTGATGTGGTAATGATTAGTGATGGTTTGAGGAGGTATGTTGGTTATTCCCTCTTATATCTCCTTCAAATATTCACCATTTTATTTTGCTTTATGCACTCAGTTCCCATGAAAATGGGGCCCTAGTAATCCAGAATTTGTGTCGAGAGGTCATGGAACTGGCCAAATATTGTTCTCACCAGGAATCGAACTCAGTATTTCCCAAACCTTTGTCTCTTAGCAGGAGTTCGTTTACCACTCGAGCCGTATTTGTTAAAGAACAAATTAAAGTTAATTCACACTTCGACGATCATATTTATCAACTATTCAACTATCTATCAATTAAAAGAACATGCCTACAAACTACCTATAATACCCTTCACTTTAAATTTTTAATACTTGAAAAGGATTAAAATAGTAAAAACAAAATCTCTCAATAAATTCACCTTACTTCAACAAAATACTACCAAGTGTCAAATTCTTATTTAATACTTTTTCAACTTTGATTTTTTTTCTCCAGTTATCATTCTTTCACTCACCATTTCTCTTTCATACATTTTTCTCTTTCATTTTAATTTTTTCTCTCTCCATTTCTCTTTTCCTTTTTATTTTTTTAAGCATAAATAAATAAATTGAATTTTTTAATCGAATGAAGACGAACACATTAAAATTTACTCGACCTAAAACATAATTTGAGACATCTAATTCTTATTTGAGACATATTAAAATACTATTTTATTTTAATTAACAATAATATTTATTTGAGACACATAATTATTATTTTAAAATATCAAAATTTATATTTTTCTCACGGGTCACGATTAGGAAAATATCTGTTTTATTTTAATTAACAATGCTCTTTATTTGAGACACATAATTCTTATTTTTAAATGTCAAATTTTATATTTTTCTCACGGGCCAATATCAGCAAAATACCTATTTTATTTTAACTAACAATTGTCTTTGTTTGAGACACAAAATTCTTATTATTGAATGTCAAAATTTCTATTTTTCTCACGGGCCACTATAAACAAAATATATATTTTATTTTAATTAAGAATTGCCTTCATTTGAGACATAAAATTCTTATTTTCAAATGTCAAAATTTATATTTTTCTCAGGGGTCACTATCAGCAAAATACCTAATTTATTTTAATTAACAATTTTTTTATTTGAGACACAAAATTCTTATTTTTAAATATCAAATTTTTTATTTTTCATAGTTCGCTATCATTAAAATACCTATTTTATTTTAATAAACAATTGTCTTCATTTGAGACACAAAATTCTTATTTTCAAATGTCAAAATTAAATTCATATTATTATTATTCATTTTATAATTAAATAACTCAATTTAAATTTATGTTTATATTTAAATAAAACCTATATCATATCAAATACATTTATTTGTGCGGACGCACATGTAGGTTGCTAGTTTAATATCAGAACATATGTACCAACCGAAATCGCAAAAATCTTTACACGAATGCAATCATTTTGCAAAAAAACTTGTCTCCTTTTTTGTGTTGTTGTTGCTTGCATGGTTTTAATAATATTTTCTATGTATTTGTATCTTAACTCCTTTCTCCTTCTCGAAAGTGGTTTTTAAATGTTTTTATTAGTTGTTGAAAAAATATTTATTAATACATCTTGCTTATTTAAAAAATAGTCCACACAACACTACATAGAAATACAATGTTTACAGTTGCATTATAGATAATTATATTGTGATACTTGTTATTCTTAATTTATTTTTTTTACCATCATGATTCACTTTTAACCCAAACGCACTTTCACATGATGTAACCAAACAAGTCCTAAGTCACTACTATCTCGTTTTAAAGTCACGAGACAGACTGTCATCTCTTGAATTCAATAAATATTGTATGTGTGTAGTGATGGTGAAGGAACAAAAGTGAGAGAGAGTGTAGAAGAAGAACTGATAGAGAACTTTCAAAGCTCTTCATCTTCTATCATCACTCAACTATAGCCTCTATATATTTTCTCTTTCTGTTAGAGTGGTACCATAACCCCATCACCATGTAGGTCTCTTATACCCCACACTTTGATTATCTTTTCTTCTCTTCTTCAACTACAACTCTTCTCTCTCTCTCTATCTTATGACTTAGGTGTTTCCTTAATTTTCAGGAGACCAGATGGAAATCAATTAGATCTTAACAATCTCCCTGATGACAACTATAGAGATCATCATTCTAAACAACTTCTTCCTAACATCATCTCCTCGCCACCTGGTAATTAATCCATTAGTCATTTAGTTAAACCCTTTTTCAAGATTTTAAATAACAGACGCCTATAAAATTTCACATTTTCAATCTGTACAGATGTTACGAAACTGATTGATTGTAGATGTGAAGTAACTATAATTTATTCTTCATCATAAAAACGATGATATCATTTTGTATCTACCTTTTTCTCTCTTTATTCATGATCACATACCAAAACAATGATAACTGTTTTTTTATTATCATTAGTAAATTTTCATAAATGAAAGTATGAAACACTAGGTCATGGTTTGTTTGACCATGAAAAAGTCTTTAGTTTTCTTCTTGTTCTAGACCTATCCATGTAATAAATGAAAAGTGTGGTAGTTGGTGAAGTTATTATTATAGATGAATGTAATGATGATTTGATGTAAAAAAAGAAAAGGAAGGGTCTCATCAAAGTTACTAAAATAGGATATTTTTGTTACAATAGTTACAGGTTTTAAGGAAAAAGAAGGGAACGAAGATGATAGAAAAGACGAGGTTGAAAAGGTCTATGAATGTAGATTTTGTTCCCTTAAATTCTGTAAGTCTCAGGCTCTTGGAGGACACATGAACCGTCATCGTCAAGGCTAGTTGTTACTTTCACTACTTTTCTTCTCTTTATTCATTATTTTTTTGCTTGATATGATTTGTGAATCTGTTTTTTATAGAGAAAGAAACAGAAAAGTTGAACAATGCTCGTCAGCTTCTCTTACGTAATGATCAAAACCTTGTTGCTCAAGCTGCCCTTCACATAGGGTATAGTATATTCTACGCACTTCCATTTTTTGTAAAAAAAATTATTTATAGTAACAGAAAAATCTGTAGGTAAAGTAATAAATATTGTTGGTATGGGATAAGAATCCTATTCCATCAGAGCATTTCGTTTTAAATTTTCTATACCAACGAAAGTAGGAAGCGCGGTTTTAAAAAATGGCCACATCAAAATATTTTTCGAATGTGCCGATATCGATACTTTTATCACCGTTTTTATATTAAAGAACAAATTATGATTAATTCACATTTTAACAACCATAATTAGTGTCACAAAATTTATATCGATCAAAATTGTGAAAGTTTTTATACGATCGAGATCATTTTTTAAAACCATGAACAATAGTTGATAAAAAACTATGACATGATATATTATATTTATTTACACTTACATTTTGTGAAATTAATATTCAGATGCTATCCTACAATGCCTATGAGATTTCAACCTTCTTTCTCTAGATCATCATCTTCAAATCAACCACCATCTCAAGTTCAACAATACATGTATAATTCATCTTCACAACCAATTTCTTTCCCTACACATTTCCTTCCACAACATCAAATGAATGATTACCGTGTGAGCCACCAGCAACAATATGTGGCAGGTGGGGGAGGAGGTGACAAGTCAAGCTACACGTGCATAGGTGCACCCATTGGACAAAGTTTTCTAGATCATACTGCATCGATCAATCGATTTCAAGATGGTAATTTGTAATGCTATCATAAAGACACGTTGGTGAGAGAGATGATGAATTAATTAAGGTTGTGGTGATATATAAATAGGGTTATGAGTCATCATGGGATGAGAAACAATAGTGACTAGGTGGTGCAGCTTTTGAGATCATTGACAACCTCATCTACTTTGGCACGGAGTAGTGGGAATGTCTTTTGTATGTTGTTTAGGTACAAAGACAAGTTGGATATGAACTGAAAGTTTGTGTTACTTCTTTTTGCATCACAGTTACCAACAATTGTCATAATATTTTATATTTTATTGTATTTTCTAGTAGTACTATTTCTGTTTCATTTTGCAACTTTTGTGATTTCATGCTTCTTTTCTAACTTAATAATCCAAATAAATGTTTCTCACTCTCTAGAGTTAAACCGTGATTAGAATAGTCTAGTTTCTTGATATGCTCATGGTGTCAGTGTCACACTATTCTTGCACAATTAAGATAATACAACAAGATACTCAAGTTGAGAGTTTCCAGTATACATGTAAAAATATTCAAACAATCCATCAATCATGTATACTATCAATCAAATTTCTTCTTCATACTATTACTATTTAGAAGTGCTTATATTTCTACCAAACTAATTTCAATTATGTTAGGAATTATTGATCGATTGTTAAAGTTTGGTTTTGTTAAAGTTTCCGCCAAATCATTAACTGATTTTTTTTTGTAAGTAATGTGAAGAATAATAAATAAAATAATTTTTTATAGATATTTATAAGTCTTAGGTAGAGTACAGTTTCTTTTAGAAAAACTCTACTTCAAATTTTAACTTATTTTAAAATAAATAATTGTTAAAAAAACAGCACAGTGAATTTTTTTAAATAAAATATTAATATATACAAAGATAGAGATAAAAGGTAAAAAGACTTAAAAAAATAGAACGGCACAAAAAGTGTCTAAGAACCTCACTAAAGGAAAATAAGAAAACAAGATAATACAATATAACCTAAGAAGAAGAATATAAAATACGAGATCAAACACAACCAAATCATCAAAATAATTAGATTAGATTCCATAAATAAGAATAATCTTCTAACATAGTAATATCTCTTAAGCACATTTTAGGACCGCCTTCCTAGAAAAATCAAGTGATACACTAAAGAAAGAGCATGTATAAGTTAATAGTCTACTAAGATATCATTTCTATGCAAAGGAGATGCTCATATCTTCCAAGTCTTCTTCATTTAACTACCTATTTAAAAATATGTAGTAGTTATGGAATTTCCGCACATCATTGGATAGACTAGTTTACCTATACCTTTGATTTTACTTCTTGTTCCATTACCAAAGGTAACATAGCTATTAAGGTATGGCTTTAACTTTCCAAGATAGTTATTTTCTCCAGTCATGTGCCATGAAAATTCACTATTAAAATACTAATCCTCTCTTGATGAACCTCTAAGATATGTATGAACTATAAAACAACTGACAATTTTCTTGGGTTTTCACTCCTTCTTTGCTTGAGTTTTCTTCCCTTTTGTTTCCTTTGGGCCTTAGCTGACTATAAGACTTAGGGTATCCATATAGTCTATAGCAAAAGGGTCTTATATGAACATATATTCGACAATGGTGACAACTTCAATATGATTTCTTGTTTCCTTTATCCTCATGGTATTCATGTTGAATAAGATCTTGCAACATGCGGTCCTTCATCAGGAACTCAGTTTTCATCTCTGGAGATATAAACTTATTCGTGGGGATTTTGAACTTTTTGTTTATGGAACTGTATTCAAACCCTACAACCTTCATATTTCCTATCATAACATCCCCCATATCTGAATTATTGTTCATTGTACTTTTAGACTTTGTCAAATTTCAAGTTTGGAATTCAGCAAGGTGACTTCCTCTTCCAGCCCAATGATAGTTGAAATAAGTTTCTCATTTTTTTTGAAGAAAACCATTTATGGTCTTCTTCTATTTTTCCACACTCAAGCAAGCTTCTTCCCATTTGTTGTGTAAGAGACAAAATGTTGCATCCAAATCCTCTTCAGTCATGTCTTCATCATTAGAGTCTCCTTCAGCTTCATACTTACCAGTGAAAGTCATTACTTTGTTAGTTGTTTCCTCTTGACTATCATCATAATATTTAGACCAAGAGATAGATAATTCTCTCTTCTATTTATTTAGAAAAGTAGGAAAATAAACTTTAATATGCCCAAACCCTTATCATTCATAACATTGAACATTTTTTGCCTTGGTTATGTTTGTCATCATATTTGTTCTTTCTCTAGGACTTGATGTATGATCCTTTATCTCGGACCTTCATTGTCTGTCCAACCTTCTCAAGGATTTTCTAAACTTTCTTTTAATAAGTGTTATAACATCTGATGTACTTTCACCTTGATCTTCATCCTCTTCAATGTTGGATACAAAGGCAATGCTCTTGTTCTTCTTTTAAGAGCTATCATGAATAATAATTTCAAAGGTTTTTAAAGAACCAATTAGTTCATCAAATTTCATGGTGCTTAAATATTGAGTTTTGTCAATAGTTGTTACCTTCATTTCAAACTTCTTGGGAAAATATCTGAAGATTTTTCTGATCAACTTTTCTTTTGACATCTTCTATCCCAAGGAAAATGAATTGTTAGCAATGTCATACAGTCTGCTATTAAAATCCCATATGGATTCATCTTCCATCATTATTATATTTTCAAACTTAGTTTTAAAGAGCTACAACCTTGACATACGCATTTTCAATGTGCCTTCATGAGCAGTCTTGAGAAACTCCCAAGCCTCTATAGCTTCAGTACATGTATTGATTAGTCTGGACATGTTTTATAAACATTATTGAATATAGCATTTAAGGCTTTGTCGCTTCTAACAACTTCATCATCTTCATATTTGATCCAGTCAGCTTCAGGTTTTAGGATCGTTATACCATCTTGAAAAATATCACATGTGGCTTCCAAACTTTAACCACAACATTCTAAGTTTTGTTGTCTATGGATTAAATAAATATATTCATCTTAGATTTCCAATAATCATAATTGGTGTCATCTAAGACACGTGGTCTATTGACATAACCTCATTCCTTAGTGTTGTCCATTTGAACAGAAAATATATTCCCTAGAGCTCACCCAAACAGAACAGGACACCTGTTGTGATGCAAATTAAATTTTGTTCCTCATAGGACAAATGTTGGACCAAATATCTAGGACAATTTATCCAACTTGTTAAATCAGGTTCACACAATATGACAATAACACATAAATAAAGACAAAGAAATAAAGAACACAAGAAAATTGATAACTCAATTCAGTGCAAATCATACCTACATCTGAGGGAATCCAACCCAAGAAAGGAAATTCGAGCTTCTATAAAATTAGTACAAAGTGTAACACCCTAAAATCTATAATTAATTATTTAATTGATTATTTGTGAATTATTGATGATTATCCATGTGATGTATGTGTCAGACGACGACAATAATATCTAGAGGGGGTGATTAGATACCCATTTAAAAAATTCAAATAAAATTTGGTTTTGAATTTTTATTTATTAAAGTACGACTTAAAAGCTTTTTTAAATTGTCGTCTATACAAACGTTATCAGGAAGCATAAATATACAAACCGTAAATGTAAAATAATATGGAATTAGATTGATAATGTGAATTAAACCTTGAATCACTTTGCAACTTATTTACCATTTAATCAATTTCACTTAGAAAGGCTATTTCCAATGGTAATACTAAAAGAACTAGTTAAGTCAATTTATCAAACACTTGGTGTGCAAGTGAATTTTCAGAATTTTTCCTTTAATTATGTTGATACACAAAACCAATAATAATCAAAAGTGATTATAAGCTATATCAACACTTGAATTAAAAATCAGAATTTATTGGGAAAATTCTGACAATTCAAATGATAACGCAATGTTATTTGAAAAATCAAACAATGAAAATCAAAGCAAGTAAAAGCAAAAATAAAAGTGACACGAGGAATTTGTCTTCACAGTTCCCCATTGTTGTTCTTGCGTGTGGGTACGTATGTGCCTTAAAATGAAAAAATGTTGATACAAGAGAAGTGTTCCAGAGCAACTCCACAAACCCTAAGCTTGTTGTTGATTCAACCACTTTTCTCTTTTCTTGATCATGAGAGAGACCAACACACAATAGATGGTAAATAACTACCTGGATCTTACTACTCCTTTGTGTTATTTATCTTTAAATATTTCATGCACCGTCAATCTCAAATTAATTCAACACAAGATTTCGATTTTGTCCAGTACTCCAAGTTACTTCCTTGCAAATATTTCAAACGCTTCAAGGTTCCTTGCAAAGATTTTAACCACTCTAAGGTTGTTCACTTTACCTCAATTACCTCTCGAACATCTTGCACGAAAACACCCAAATCAACCAATGATCTTGGAGGACTAACCCGAGGTTTTTCCTGGATGAAAACCCCTACAAAACTCCACCCAATACACAATTTCACACTAGCACCCCTCGTCTAGATGGCTTCCCAATGAAACATCGTTACAATGCAATGTCAGTGTGTATTCTTAGATTAGAGGTTGAAGATAAAGAGAGAAATAAGATAATTTTATGGTTTTCACCAAGTTGGAAGGATGCATGAAAGAGTATTTATAGTTTTGGAACTTTAAGGGAAAAGAGGGATAAATTCAGAATAAAAGAATTTAAAAAATTGACCAACTAAAACAGTATGTCTCGACCTAAGGATCGTATGTGTCGACGCATATGATATTTTTTAACATAATTTGTCGACCTATCAAGAGCCATGTGTTGGCCAAGAAGTTACAGAATCTATAGGCTTTAAAACAATAGAAAATGTGTCAAACTGAAAAGTGGATTTGTCGATACATAAAATAATAATTTAAGTAATTTTAGAAAAGCTTCAGTGTTTGTCGACCTGAAATGATGCATGTGTCAACCTGAGACTTACAGAAGCTACAAGCTTTAAAAATGCATTACATGTATTGACTGGAAATATGAATGTGTCGACACATGCAGTAAAAAAA